TTGTGTGTACATTGATGAGATCAAATCATATGATCAAATGTGTGTGGAGATTTGGCATAGATGAGATTTTGTGATGAAATGTGTGTTGGGTGTTGACTCAGCAAGTGCTCTGAATCTAGGAGATAGCACTTCTCTGGCATGTTGGCAGATTGCACTGACACTCTTCGATTTCGGAAGAATATTTGGTAAAGGTTCATCAGTCGTCACATCTATTGAAGAGCATTCAATGAAACGATAGATTTGAAATGAGGAACATATGACTCAGCATAGCCAAACATCTGCGATTTGGAATTATGTTATCAATAGATCATTGTTGATGTCGTTTTATTTAACCGAACAGCTGAACATATCCAATAGATCAGGAAGCTATATATTTAAGATTTGATGTATCTCTGACTTATATACTGACCTATTTACTGACACAGCCCAAAATTTCAATCGTTATTATTGGTGTGTTGATTCAGGTTAAGTTCCTCTTAGTCTGAGCCATTTTACGTGAACGTATTGTAAGCCATTTGATGACTTTTCAAATGATCTCTCAGTCGATCAGTATCAATAACTTCGGATCAGTATCAGCTTGTTTCATACCGTATCCGAAGTTTCTTCATTTTACTGTAGTTCCTTCAGTCACCAGTTATTCCGAGAGCCCATTCGTTTGACGAATGCATTAGGCTGGAAATGTATTAGGATTCCTTTCATCAATGATTTTGACATGAATTTGCAAAACAGTGACTCATCGTTATGATCAAATGAAAGAACACATCTCAAGAGGAGCTATCGAATGTCATATGTTAACATTCTTAAACATAGCGAAGAAGTATAGCAGTGAATTGACACAACGAAAATAGCGACAGAATTTCTAGGCCATCACATTTCTCAGCATACGTTCTTATATGTAAGAACAGTTGATTTGTGAGAATTTGAAAAAATTATTTGTGTGTAATCGATTAAGTTTACGCGTTCAAGCACATACATTCTCCCGTCGATTAAAATCATGTCGTTTTATATTAGTTTGTGGAAAGAATTTATCTCTTTGCAGAATCCTCAACAATGGCTTCAATGCAACATTTTTCGTTAGCTGCTCTACTACTTGCTGCTTCGATTTGTTTGGGGTTTGTTGATTTGGCCATTTTTTGATGAATTCTGTACACTTGTTATAAATACCCAGCTATTTGTTTAATATTTATTCTTCAGTCGATTATTTATCTAATCGTTGATTCGTTTCTCTATAGTGAATCATTCATTCAATATCTGCACTTAATTAACGATGACAATAGGGTTTTGTTTGAACGATAGCATTTACAATACGGTATTGTAGTTTCGAAGGACACGAAATTCTTGAAGCAGTGATAAAATAATATTTTTGAATGTGTGGAATTGCTTCAAACGTATCGGTGAGCAATAGTTCAGTTTCTTTTAATGGAAACGTATGAGTGAATGTAAATTCGGATAAGACAGTGTTTGGGCGAGTCAAAAGTGCGATAGCATGCATGATTAATAGTGATGAAGGTGATAGGAATTGTAGAGAGTGATGCATCATAATCCCTTTGAAGGATTCAAATCTGTCGAATGATATTGACCAGAGAAATTTTTCTCATCGTTCGGTTAGTCAACGTTACCAATTTCGGGACCCCGTTTTGAAATGTTTAGGGTTTCTGTTTTGGAGCTTTCAAATGCTCGGGATTTTTTGCTACGGAAACAAATTTCAACTAGAATTTTTAAGTGATGCCGATAGAACGGAATGTCAGCTACCGTTGGACAAAGGAACACCGTGTACACAGGAAGGAGGCGTGAAGCCGAGTGTTGCGGTCAGTGGATAATGGTTCCATTCCCATTGCCTTTTATTCATTGGCAGTTTTTTTTCATATTCTTCAATTGCACTAAAATTTTGTGTTTTGCCACCTGTGGACAAAAAATTTTTTATTTTATTGATGCAATGGGTGTTTTTAGTGGTGGCACGACGATAAGAGCGGTATTTGTCTGTCGTTCAAGTACACGGGATGTGGTGGAAATGCGAACCGTTTCACAACCATCAAAAACTGTGAACAACATTGCAAAATGCGTCAGTATCATTCTCATTTCTACAATGAATACCAACAAATAGTTTGAAAAATTGCTGAAATTTATCGAATTTTATGCACCATGATGATGTTAATTGTATTTTTTTGATAGCTGATCGAGGCGCATGTGCTCTCGGAAAGAAACCAGCCGAGGACAGCAATGGAGAGCAACTGGTTTGTGCGGGCATGCGAGAGGACAAATGCCCTAACGGCTACCAATGTAAAATGATGGCGTTCATGGGTCTGTGCTGTCCAACGAAAGAAGAAGGTTTATTAGTGTTGACTCATTTTCTTGACAGTAATCTGAGTAGTTGGAGTGATAATTTGTTAGTGTTATCGTCGAGACTGATACGTTTCATGGCCTATTATTACAAGAGATATAACTGCCCGATAACTTTCTGCCGTATGTGCAGAGTCCCTGGAATCGACCGACTACCGTCAGCTTTTAGCACTGTCTCATTTGGGAAGTAACTAATGGTTAACCAATGGTTGCAGAGTTGTTCGCCAGGGAGTATGAGGGAGTGTGCAAGTCAGGTAAACCGGTCAAAATGGATCGAGGCAGTGGTTGGATGATGACCATACTGGGCAAGTCTTGTGACGATCAATTCTGCCCTGAAGATGCCAAATGTGAACAGGGCAAATTATTTGCAAATTGTTGTAAATAATATTGATAATGAATATAATACCAAAGTGCCTAAGAGATATTAATTCTAACATATAATTTGTAAGATTTGAAATTATTCTATTATGAATCATTGTGCGATAACTAAATTCGCTAATAAATAACGTTTATCACTAATCTTTCGATTGTTAGTGATATTCAATATCGCGCGATTGTATTAATTGCGATATTCAGTTGATAATAACATAATGTAATCGTTATAATACACTGGTATTAATAACCGGTGTTTTCTTAATCATTGCTCATCAATTTGTATGAAATTTGACTGTGCGATAGTACGTCTAGTATTCATATTTTTGTGAATTTGTTTTGTGGCATAAAAGATTTTCAACGAGTTAGTATTGAAATCATATTTGGAACTGATGCCTGCTTCATGTAGACAGGTGACAACAATTGAAGACAACTTCTGAGTTTGACTCATTTTCAAGATACGCATATTGTGAACATTTATGATTATTAATCATCAGTGTTGTCGGATTAATGAAGATTAATTGAGTGGATAAATAGGCGTGCGGAATGAATAAATTATGATCTTGTTGACTGGAATGGAACGATCATGTTCATATTAATAAGTGATAAAGAATTTACGAAAATGATTGGTTCTGATGAAGGTGGAGATATAGCTTATGTTGGCTGAGTAGTTTTGTTATTTGGTTGAATATTTGAATGATTGATTCAGGCAGTCTGTTTTTTTTGTTGAGATGTTCGTCGATTGAGAGAAGAAATAATATGAGAACGATGCAATTGGTTGGTGATTTATTTGCATATGAACGATGTTATGTGAATAAGAAAAGTTTTGGTTTGTTTTTTTATCTTTTGCAGTTGCAAATGGAAAGTGTTTCGTTCTCCATAGGGGAATGCAAATTGGAGAATACTTTTCGTCTCTTCGCAATCTTCTTTCGCATTATATTCCTCAGCAGTGTCGTAAATCTTTGGATATGTAAAATTAAATTAACTGAAGTAAAAGTCATTTTCGAATTCCCGAATCAACTCAACGTTGGATGCAAGAGCTTTTATCCTCCTCCTGCATTATTTCATTATTTATATCGATTGCACGTGCATTTCACACGAGACGAATTATTTCTCGTTTATTTTCTAAGAGTTGGATATTGTGTAGTATATGAATATCGTATAATTTGAAGTTTGCTGAATGAATGACATATTTAAATAACAATTAACAATTATATCAACAATTACCAGCAGTCATTTTCTATCGCCTAGGGCAATGGTGCGATTGAGCAATTTGAGTGCTCATCTGCACTGACGAGTTGATTTCTTTTGTGTTGTTGTTGTTGTTGTTGTGGTTGATCATTTTTATTAGTCAATACTCATCATTATGAGGATTATTACTTTCTTAAAGATACGAGAATATTAATTATTATTGCTGTTTGTGATTGAGGATTAATGCTGATGAATAAAAATAATTGATACTGATTTGTGAAAATAATTCACAAATGAGAATATGAAGAGAGTGGGGAGTTGATTGATTGATGTGATATCGACAGATATTGAAATATCACAACAGACACAAGTTTGAGCGTAATAACTATGTGATGAACGCAGAATTACTACTTCATTGCTTCAAGTCATGCAGTTATTTTTATTTTACTGCTGCTTTAGCATAGCTTCATCTTGTTGTTGTTGTTCTAATTCCTCTTTACAACAGATGCAATCCACACGCTCTGTTGTTCTGGATTTTGCTAAGCTATCTCTGCTGTATCCATCCAAAATAACGACAATGGATAGATAGATACCCTTGCTTGGTTGCTTGCGTTCAAATGCAACGCTTCTGTGTGTCACATTGATCTATAGAGGATATCGCATCCCTTCGATATATGCTCCGCTCGATGCATGTATTTGTCTCTGATGTATGTCACTGCCAACCAAATGAACCAGTTTTTTTGTTACCGGACTATGGTTATCATAACAACATTTGTTTTTGATGTATCTTTATCTTTATCCCTATACAACTATGTCCACATCCGCTCATTCATTTCAACCCATACCATGCAGAACACGCAAAACACTTCCTTCCTTCCATCCGTCCGTCCTTCGTTCGCCTCACTATCTTTTATCGCTTATCACATTCGACTTTAACTAATACCTCCTTATTTTTGAGTTTCTGTCATCATTTTCATTATCATATCTTTTATCACCTCGATCAGTCAATGATATGATGTGATGCGATCAAATGAGATTAGATTAGATTAAATTAAATGAGTTCTTCAAAACAAACAATTATGAATCGCTTGGAAAGCACAGTAAAAAATTTAATAAGTTTATTATTGATGAGACGGTAGGATTGATCAGATGAGATCAGTGATTGAACAAGATCTGATCAAGATCAATGAGGGGATCAAGGTGAATCTATCTATTTATCTATTGATTACATAATTGTATTTCAATTGGAGAAGACAACAAATAGAACGTCTTCAATTGGTTTATTGCGGCAAAGGCAATACGAAATAAACGAACGAACGAAATGCAATGAAGTAACACGCACATTCCGTTATCCTTTATCCATACATCGATTTATCGCAGCTATTACAATAAAGAAATAACAAATGTGGAATAAACTTGAGAATATGTGCAAGAAAGGAAAGTCGGAGTGAAATGAATGAAAGTAATGATTGATATCAATGGAAAGTGAATACTGCTAACTCATATCAAATTTCTTCTATCATCATCACCACAATGTGCATCATTTGTCATTTAATTTGCTGCTATGTATTAATTGCAAACCAGATCAACTTTTTTGCAAGCAGTTTAGTGCATAATTCATTCATTGGATTCGTTTCGTTGCGTCGGTTTAGCAAACACGATAAAGCTTAATTTGATTTGTTTGATTGAGCGATTTGTTTAGACTGATGATGCTTTTCGATTCAGTTTTCGTTTGGACTTAGCGATTAATTCTCGTGGACTTGTTTGATTAAGGACTGACTCCTTTTGGCTCATCTTTTTTTGCAAAATTGCTCCTGTTTTCTTTCGTCTTCTTAAAATTCTCTTGAAATCTTACATTGTTTTTATAAATCTTCGCTTTTTATTGCATTGTACCGCTTATTATAGTTATATTTATTGTTGGTATTATTATTATTATATAAGATGGAGATTCTTTAGGTTTTCATAAATGAATAGAGTCTGATAAATCATTATTGCGGAATCGGAGTTATTCATTGAAGTGTGTAGATTTGTTCAATAGGACTGATTGCTTTTTAGTGTTTGAGGATTAGAATGGGATTTGTTTCGTTTTGTTGATAGATTAGGTTTGTTTTGAGTTAGTTCTGTTGTTATTTGTTTTAGAGTGTTTGAGCAGTTGATTAAATTCCCTCTTTTTGAGAGAGGTGGATTTATCTCATCTCGTGTTATTGTTATTATTATGACTGCTTTCTGATGGAACGACGGAGTGAAATCGCTCGCAAATCATTTGGTAAGTTGTTGAGGTTTATTATAAGTGATCGTTTTGTTGATTATTGGTTCAAGCTTTGATCAGTTACATGTATCGTTATCATATCAGTTGAAATGACATTGTAATGGTGATGGATTGTTGTTTTTGAGGTATTTTTGACATGATTACGAGACTCTTTGTTGAGTTTGAGTAAGATGAGTTTGTTTGTCTGAAGAATTTATGAATCGATTGAATAAAATTTAATGTTTTGAGTTGATTGCGAAATGTTATTAATTCGTTTGGTAAAGTAGTGATTGATTAAAATCATTCGCTTAAATGACTGATATTGCGGGCAGTTGATTCGAATATAAGATGGTGATGGTGATAATGAGAAAGTGAAAAAATTTGTTATTGGAGTTGATGAATGAAGGAAGGGTTTCGATTATTTGTTGACGATGATGATGCCTGACGGCTGTCTGTCGTCTAGATGTGAGCCGCCAACCTGCCAGACGGCATATTTTATTACTTGTTGAGTGAGTTAGTTTGTGAAATGTTTCAGTGAATTTGTATGATCAGAGTGTTGATTGATATATTCAGCGATGAATAGTTGGATAGATAACAGTCTTTTTCAAGCTGTTTTTTTCGGATTCGAATTTTTCACATTTTTCATCATTGACATTCAAACTTGACTTGAGTGGTGGAACGACAGTAATTTGATCAGAGACGATTCGAGCTGAATTGTGAGTTAATCATCGATTAAAGTTAATTGAAGTTAGTTGAGTTAATTTGTGAATAGTCGATTATTCAGTCGGTTTAGACGAAGCAAGAAGACGCGAAATTTATTTTTATTCATTCATTTGCGATGAAAATGAAACTCGACAGCTCGTCTTCATCGTCAACCGTTTTATCGAAATGAAACTTGAAATATGAGAAAGAAATTTCGAAAATGAATCGGCGAACAAGTGTTCTTTTTCTGTGAAACGACTTTTGCGGTCAAAAATTTCTCCAAATCAATCGAAAAAGTTTCATTGTCAACTGAAATTAATTTGTGGAATTGTCGAATTAATCGAATCAGCTTCATCGTCTCGTCATCATTACTCTGCTCGCATTTCGTTCACATCTCGTCCGGTTGTACATAATCTGGTGTATGTCAATTATCTGGTATCGATGTGTTATCTGCTATTTGCTGGGCGTGAATAATGATCGTTTTCTTAGAAGTGATAATCGTTTAATTCAGTGGTTCTCACAGGGTGCGTAGTTACCCATTTTGGGTCATTTGGTGATGTCATCGGGTAGTGGAGGGGTCGGGAAATTAGTATTTCGGGTGGTAACACTCTTCATTCTCCTATTTTCTGATGAGTATCTTTAGCTCATAAGGGCCTAACAGGGTTTTCATTCGTTTTAACAAGGTTTTCATTCTTTTCCGAGCTGTTTCAATCGCTCTCATAGCTTTTATCA